ATTTAAATAGTAAAATATTTGTGAAAAAATATTTTAAAAAATTAATAAATACACAAAAATACGAAAAATGTACTGAATTTTCATATATTTTTTTTTGTATTTAGGTCTCGTTTGGGAACCAGCCCATTTAGCCAAAAAACCAACAACCCACACAAAAAAGTCAAAAATTTTCTTTTCTCTTTATTTTTTGCACATCTTTTCGTAAAAAGTCAAAAAATCATCCCAAACATATTAATTTTTTTTAACTTATATTTTAACCAAATAATAAAAAAATTACTAAATTAATATATTCTAAACGAGACCTGAGTCTATTCTCATGTGAGACTTTCCTCGTCAATGGTGGTGCTGGTGCTATTGAGGGACAAAGCATTTTTATATGGGCTCTATCAATCTTGACCTTTAATTCAAAAAGGGTTAAAGAAAACTGTCCTTCCCGCCAAAAGATCTCTCCGTAACCGTCTCATCAACAACCCACACCACAACTACTATTTTAACTGCAAAACCCTGACACCCACCATTCCCACTCCTCTCAGCATTCTCAATCTCTCTCTCTCAACACAATAATACACACAGTTCTTGCTCTCCAAGAACAAGAAAAACAATCCTCAGAAAATTCACCAAAACAAAATGGCAATCTTCAAGCTCAAGTTCTTCACCCTATTCTGCCTCCTCTCCTTGGCTTCTTCCACCACCACCACTCCTCCACCCTCCACCGCCCTCACGGCCTCCCAAGTCCTCAAAACCCGCGGCTACCACCTGTTCGGATCCCTTATCGCCTCTGCCGCCGCCAGTACCGACTCTTGGAATGGTACCGGCACCGTCTTCGCCCCACCCGACTTCGCATTCTCCTCCACCACCGCCAAATTTAACAACTATGGCCGCTCTCCGCCTCCCCGCCCCTCCATCTCCCTCCTCCTCTCCCACACCCTCAAACAACCCCTCACCTGGAACAACCTCACCGCCTTCGCCGACGCCCACGAACTCCGTACCTGGAAAACCAATCGCTGCCTCTTCGTCTCCAAGGGCTTCAACGGCGATCTCGCCCTCGCCGGATCCAAGAAACCAATCTCCGCCGTCCAAATCCGCCAGCCTGATCTCTACCTGAATGATCGTCTCACCATCCACGGCGTGGACGGCGTACTGGACCCTAACTCTGTGTCCAAGTGCATGTTTCCTGATCAAACGCTTCTGATCAAACCTGGAGGAGTCGATCCATCTCCATCTCAATCTCAATCGCCTCTTGATCATGCGGTTAAGGCTTTGAGCAAGAGAGGATTCAGTATGGTCGCGACCGCAATGGCCGTGAAACGGTCCGAGTTGATCAATCTGGACGCCATAACCGTATTCGCTCCATCAGATTCGAGTTTGCTCTCCGAATCTAATGGATTCCGATTCGATTTCCTTCGCCACGTTGTGCCGGGACGATTTCTATTCAACGACATTGCGAGACTCTTGGCAGGAACAACGATGGAGACACTATCTCCTCACAAGACGGTGGTTATTGGATCGGCGAACGGCGTCGTCACTGTCAACGGCGTTGCGATTCACAGTTCGGAGCTTCCATGGCGGAGGAGGGTTTGTAGCGAAATGGCTCTTCCACGGTTGATGATCTCTCTGTTGTTGTTGTTGTTGTTGTTGTTATTCATACCTTGTTTTGTGTCCGAATCGATAGGGTACAAACCACAAGAAGAAGAAGGGGAAGAGTTCTCAGAGGAATTATTGTTGAAGCCATTGCCGGATCGCAAGGTTCTAGCCCATTTTCACTTCTAAACCAGAGTTCCTCCTACTGAAACTATTTATCAATGACGATTGCGATCTTGCCCACGCCGACTGCGATCTTGCCCATGATTTCGATCGTCCACAGTGGACTGCGATCTTGCCCACGCCGCCGATCTTATGGTGTTGGTTCAATCTGGACCGTCGCATCAATCTAACGAGATTTCTGAAGAAGTGGGGGTTGAGTCTGGACCGTCTGATGAGGAAGAGAATGAGAGACGTGAATTGATGAGTAGTTCAATCCAGTCCAGTGGTTCTTCTGAGGTAAATAAGAGTGGGAAGAAATCAGGTGTGCCCAGTGTGATTGATCATTATTCAATTGCTGATGATCTGTTCTACTACATTTGATTTTACACCCACAGAATGTAGAGCATAGAAATTTGTATGTTGTCAAATGTATGGGAAAAAAAATTGTAAAAAAGAAATTTTAAAAATACAAATAATATTTTGTTTGGAAGGTTGTGTACTTGTATTCCACAATTTAATTGAATACTAATTTGCCTGCATGACTTTTTAAATGTTTTTATCTGAGTTGACAATTTGTTTCCCCTTTTTAGAGTTTTTTTTTTTTTTTTTTTTTTTTGGTATGAAATCAAAAACGAAAAAGAACAGAGTAATTACCAAACTAAAAAGAATGATAATTTAATTTAGATTATTAAAGGCAAAGTGAAAAGAGATTACCACAATAAAATAAGGTTAGGTTTGACATAATCTAAAAAAGTCAAAAAATTAAAAAGTCACTATCCTATTTAAGTCATATCATTTTATTTAAGTCACATCACCTCTCTACTATATCACATCAAACCCAACCCATATTTTATAAAAATTCAAAAAATACACTCATTTAGATTATTTCAAACAACCATTCTCCTCCCATCAACTTATTTTGAAATTATAATAATGTGATTCTAGATAATGGCTCAAAGTAGTTTATAATATGCTAAAATTGATAATATGAACAATAATGATACATCTTTTAAAACTCTAAAGTTTTAATTGAGTTTTAATGAGTTGAAAAGTCAAAAAAAAAAAAAACACATCAAATAAGCTCCACATACACATTAAAGCTATTAGACCTCACAAATTAGAGCTGCAAAACATTTTTTTAATATAAATATATAAGCTAAAAACACATCATCTCTTAGTTAATTTTGTCTAATAAATTGTAAGTTATAACAATAGCTATACCAAACACTACCCTATGGAATTTCAATAAATGATTTTCATTCTCCCTCGCCCATTTTTACCATCCAAACGGAACCTCAAAACGCAACCAAGGGTACTCCTACACTACATAAGATGTGTTTGGAACAAGAATTTCAGGAGTGCTTTGTGAAGAGAAAAAAAAAGTAAGATCACAATGAATGTAATGGAACATTTTTTTTTTTCTTTTTCACTTTCCCCTTCCCATTCCTTCACTCCTCAAATCTCCTACAAATACTTGATCCAAACATAGTGAGCGAAACAATCGCAAAACCACCCATGGATGAACAACCTGCCATGACCACCCTATTATTCAAATCCAACTGTGCAAACAAAATCCCCAATGTCACTTCACAGCAGATATTAAATGAATAGAAATTTAAAAAGAAATTGTAGGATGAACAGATTTTATATACCAGCCACCATAATGATTTATTCATGTCTCTGTTGGTGTTAAATGTTAATTCACTGCACATACAGGCTCGAATCTCCACTTTTTTCTCTTCTTTTTTTCCCGTACTGAAGACAACAAGGCTTGAATACCCACCAAGCATGCCAGCATGCTTTATCACCAATCCATATAGCAATATGATATCTTTAACTCAAGTAGATTCATGAAAAATTAAGCAGTTCCTTACAAGACAATTAGTTCTTCAACCCAGAGATAAGATGGTATTGCTAGAATTCGAATAGATTCAACACAATTTTTTGAAATTACAGAGCAAAAAAATGGTCATATTTCAGTGTTCAATCCAAACATCCAAAGAAATTGCAGACATTGAGGTTTCCATTATGTCACAAAATGATAGAAATGTTCTTAGGTAATTCCCCTCTGCGTGTATGATATATCAATCAGACATTCACCTCCTCACCTTGCACTCGAGCAATGGATGCCGATAGAATCCCAAGATCACAATTCAGTAAGGTTAATGCAGACTCACACTCGGAGATTATTCGTGTGACAGAAGAGGGCTCACCAGCAATTGTTTCAGATGACCAAACAGCCACTGCTGCATGCGAGTCTCGAAGATTCCTCAAGTTCCCTAGAAACTGTTACAAATGAATAATCAAACCTCTTTATCAACTTCTTGTCATGCTAATCCCCTCAGAAATACTAATAATAATGAAGGCAAGACATGAACGCAAAATGACAAGATAAGAAACAACAACAAAACAATACTAAGGCTATGTTTGGATCATGGATTTCATGTAGGGATTTGTAAATAGAAAGGAAAAATTGTGGGAATTGTGAATGAAATATAAACAAATTTTTTTGTCCATTTTCTCACCTTTTCCTTTCTCTTTGCAAATTTCAACCCAAATCAATTATCCAAACATAGACTAAAGGTGTTGACATACAAATGTTCTTGATGATTTCAAGTTATGTGTTGAATAGATTTACAATCATGTGTAATCAAATTTTCTTATGTATAGCAAAACGTCTGCGCTGGAAGACAAACGGAGAAGCTGGATCATCGCTTTTTTTTTTTCCCCAAGAATTTGGTCATTCTCGATACTAGTCCAAGGTTTCCTTTGGGAGTTCCAAAGTTCTGAGATAGGCATCCTCTTAGCCATTTTTTTTAATTTTTGGAAGGGACTTTATGCTGTGTTTGGATTATTGATTTGGATAGGGATTTGAAAGGGAAAGAAAAAGATGAATCTCCCTTAACAAATCTCTACCCAAATCAATGGTCCAAACATGGCCTTAGGAATTTAAGTGGAATGAGGACATGGTTGCAGTAAGATAAAAAGTTAACTCACGTGGGATATAAAGATCATATGCTCAAAGTTCAGACATAAAATTTTGAAGGCATTTAGGAACATCGTCGTATTAATACAATTTTGCGGATAACACATTTGGTTAAAAGCACGAGCATGGTTAAGACAGGCAGTAGGCGTGTCATTATCAGCTTGAAAAATTAAGCAGCTGCACAAAAAAGCTTGAGATAGGTTTAGGCTCCGTAGGCAGTCAGAGAGAAAGGGAGGGAGAAGAGAGATTCCACATGAGGAAGCTGAAGAGGCTTAGCTCTGATAAAATTCTAAGGCACTAGATAGCTTATCAAACCAAGCCCAATGACATAACAAATTTGATCAAGCTTTGCCATTTATCACATAAGCTGATCACAACTCACAAGTGACCCTCCAAAACAAGCGATTATAATTCACAACCCAAGTTCAAGCAATTTGGCTTGTCTTACAGCCCTACCCAGGGATAGTCATGTGCGCTATAAACTAGGGTTGAGCGGGAAAATTGGGATCTCTTTCTAGTCAAAATCAGTATGGCATGTAACCGTGGAGAAGTTTGCAAGGAGGCTAACTAGATGGAGGATACTATGTTTAATTTTTTTGTAATTTAGTTTCATAAGGGTGTTAG